CATTATTAACACCGTTAACGCATCTTCTTACAAAATCATAAAAGATCCTAAACAATATTCTTATTACGCTAACTAATTTTTAACTTTACTCGCCTCGCTTCAAAGCGTAGGCAATTTAAGAATGGTTGTAGATTAATATCAAATTAAATATTTAATTTTTGCCAAATTGTGGAATTATTTAAAAAAGTATAACATACCTTTTAGAAACGAAAACAAATTGACAGCAGAAAGCGCATATCAAGAAACCTTTTCAAGTCGTCCTTAAACTGTAATGACTTTAGCTTTTTTGGAAAGCGATTCTTTAGTAGACAAAAGTTTTTCAGGTGATATAGCCTTAGAACTTTTATTGTAAACTCGTGGTTAATACAATAGACTCGTGGTTAAAGAGAAAATTGACTTTTGCAGATTTTTTTTTAAATTATCAAAACAAAAGTAATAATATTAACATTAAAAAATATTGAAATTTGCAATATTTATTTGACACCAATACTCCTTTACGTTCTTTTACTAATAACGAAAATACTATCATTTTAAAATTAAGTATAGAAGCAAATGGAAATGTCACACAATATATACAAAATTACACTTAAATTGATGCATTGAATTATAAATTTGTATTGTATTTAAAAAAAAAAAAACAATGAAAACTCAAACAACCCTTCTAATCTTTATCCTATGAGGTCTAGTATCTCTACTAAATCAAGCGAACGAGGATTATCTTATTTTATTTTTTTTTCTAACCAAACAAATGCATCACAATACGTAGTACAAGATTATACATCATTAATGCAATATGATTATTTATCTTCTAAACCAAGGTATGATAATTTGTACAACTTTGCGTTGTACAAATTACTCAAACAAGCAAAAAATTTTTGATTTACGTAAAATATCCACAAGTAGCACCAGGAGATATAACTAATCTTACTCCCGAAAGAGCTGTTATTTTAAATAATACAAAAGAAACTTTTGTTCGCCCTTTTATTCAACTCATGTTAACACCTAAATACGGAGGAGTTCTTGTTCAAAGTTCACAAAACAGTCTGGTTATTCCAGACACACGCGATGCTAATATTTTAAGTGTCGATTTAGATGTTTATATTAATAACTTATTACCTAGCTCAGAAAGACTAAAAATATCTAAAAAGAAACGCATTGTTCCTCGGCAAATTGCCTTTTTTTTTTATCGAAAATAATGACCAACACAAACACAATAAAATCTGAGGGTAGCATATATAATTTAGAAACTGATCTTAACAAAATTCTAATCCAAATTAACACTTTATGGAAATTTTAGAACGATCAAGTTAACGTTAAAGACGCTATCAACAACCATACAGAAGAAAAAATGACATTGACTAGTTTTGTCAATGTCATTTTTTTTTCTGTATGGTATGTAACTCTATCGGCTATAGGTATAGAAACTACAGAGTTGTATGCTTGCTTTTATCAATTTCTTTTTCCAAAACAAGTCAATGAAAATATTATTGATTTACTTTACAAAACATACCGCTAGCTTCTTTACCTATATCTTTTTTTAACGTTGATCAAATCATATGGTCTGAGCGTGAATTAAAAATGATGGATATTTTTACAGAAATTATAAATTACAATTTGCCAAACAATTTTCTTAATTTAAAGTTAAATAATCTTACTTTTGACCAAATTAGTTATGAAGGTACTAATATCTACTCTTATCAAAATTTCCTCAATAAATACAATTTTTCATCCATTCCTAACGACTATTATAAAATTATTATACTTTTTGGTGTTTATCTTCAATTGAACAAAATACATACGAAATCAATTTAAAATTACCATTACGAATTTCTAAAGCTATAATCGCTTCAACAAATACATATAATAATTATTTTGAAATGAAAGTAAACCAAATTTCACCGTATCATGCTCAATTTGGTTCACTCAACACGTTTACTACATCTCCTTCTAATTTACCCAAAGTCATTTATAAAATAATAACTGCAGATTTGACATTAATTGCTAAATACAATTCAGAAACATTTATCGAAGTTTTAACTTAATGCAAACAAACTAAGTCGATTCTTTCGCCAACTTTAAAAGTACCTTTTGTAACATTTAAAAACATTTATAAATATTATACAATAACTATTAGGATTTAATTTAATTTTATATTTTTCTTAAAAAAATAATTATATATTTTAGCAAAGAGATAAAAATATAGGTTTTTGTGCTAGCAAAAATAGCATTTGCTAAAAAAAAGATATAAAACTTCATTTTAGATTTTTTACTTTGCTTCATTTATTTTAAGATTATTTTACGTAGTAGAAATATATATTCTTAATAAAAATAAGTTTTAATAATAGGACTTTAAAATAATAAACTAAATTCTAAAATCGGAAGTACATTAAATTTAATTGTTTTTTAAAAAATTTTTAAAAAACCGCAATTATAACGACTAGAAAGTTTTTTTTAATTAGTGGTATTTTTGTTATTGACTTAATAAAAAACATTTTTAAAACATGCGTAAATGTTGCTACATCGACTATCTTATAGCCTGAATCGCAACGGAGTGCTGCTACATCGACTGACAAATAGCCTGACTCGCAACAGAGTGCTGCTAAATCGACTGACAAATAGCCTGACTCGCAACGGAGTGCTGCTACATCGACTGACAAATAGCCTGACTCGCAACGGAGTGCTGCTACATCGACTGACAAATAGCCTGACTCGCAAGGGAATGCTGCTACATCGACTGACAAATAGCCTGACTCGCAAGGGAGTGCTGCTACAATGACTGATAAATAGCCTGACTTGCAAGAGAGTGCTGCTACATCGACTGAGGGTTTGGTTTGGCCAGGCAGTCTATCAATTAAAAAAAAAATTTAATTTTTAAAACTTTTTCTGGTCTGGTTTATAAACGCGCTCTTTAAAACTACATTTATGGGAAACCTTTTTGATGCCATGCAAAAGACATGCAAGAGTATATATATATATATCTTTATATATATATATATATATATATATATATATATATATATATATATATATATATATATATATAAATATATATATAAATATATATATATATATATATATATATATATATATATATATATATATATATATATATATATATATATATATATATATGTATATACATATATATATATATATATATATATATATATATATATATATATATATATATCTCTTGCATGGCATCAAAAAACGTTTCCCATAACCTGTAGTTTTAAAGAGCGCGTTAATAAACCAGACCAGAAAAAATTTTGAAAATTAAATTTTTTTTTAATTGATAGACTGCCTGGCCAAACCAAACCCTTAGTCGATGTAGCAGCACTATCTTGCGAGTCAGGCTATTTGTCAGTCGTTGTAGCAGCACTCCCTTGCGAGTCAGGCTATTTGTCAGTTGATGTAGCAGCATTCCCTTGCGAGTCAGGCTATTTGTCAGTCGATGTAGCAGCACTCCGTTGCGAGTCAGGCTAATTGTCAGTCGATGTAGCAGCACTCCGTTGCGAGTCAGGCTATTTGTCAGTCGATGTAGCAGCACTCCGTTGTGAGTCAGGCTATAAGATAGTCGATGTAGCGACATTTACGCATGTATTAAAAATGTTTTTTATTAAATCAATAACAAAAACACCACTAATTAAAAAAAACTTTCTAGTCGTTATAATTGCGGTTTTTTAAAAATTTTTTAAAAAGCAATTAAATTTAATGTACTTCCGCATAAATTAATTGCTTTGACATTTCGATGACAATCAAAAACAGCTTAAGAGACGAGGTAATTAAAATTGTAGTCGTAAGAGACTTTTTTTACATTAAACGACTCTTTAAGCTACACTATATGGGT